GGGATAGTTCTAGAAAGCAGGTGGCGTGACACTAGTCACGTGACCTCGCTGACGCAACAATAGGGTAAAGAAATTGCAATCAAAGCATAATGAAATTAGAGTTGTTTCTTTAAACATATGAGAAGTTTAGAAGATAAAAATTAATATTTACGTTAATTGAGAGCCGGGCGTGGCCTATTATTAGCGTGTCCGAATGCTAAATCCAAAGATTCATGGCACGCTTCCCATTGTTGCGAAACGTGCTTCATCAGTTCAAAATTAGGGAGGACTGCGCAGAAATAGCTCTTACGAGACCGTGCGGGAAAATTGTAAATTTTCTTTGTTTTGATTTATAGCACTACTTAAGCATGTTTGTTTATGAAAAATAATTTTAAATTTTTTAATAAAATGAAACGTATAAAAGCCCATCAAACATGACGGGAAACCATTGTTGAATGATTAACGAAAATTATAGAATTTAACTAAAACGAATTTGTCTGTGCCTCCAAAATGCACCTACTCTTCACTTATTTCATCTGTCTCGAAGTAATTCTTTAGTCACCACTGCATTCCTGGTCAAGAAGTAGAAAACATAGTGCGGACATCCGACACAAATTTTAACCCCTTTTTTTTCGACTGTACAAAGAATAAAATATATTCGGTAGTAATAAACGTTTATTTTTCTTTATGCTTTAAGGCCAAGTAGATAGTATATGTATTAAAATACCAAAATAATTCATTAATTAACATTTATTCACCACTTAAAACTTTTTAAACACTGACTCTATAACGTTAGTAATAGCAAACCTATTTACAGTCTAATTTAAGCATAATACATAAACGTAACGAAAGGCTTAGCTGAAACACAACTTGGTAAATTTTATTTTGCTTTGGCTATAACTTAATGTCATAAAATTTCTGAATCAAACTATTTTGAAGTCATATCACCGAAGTTATAAAAAACAACACTAACTATAAATAGCTAATAATAAAAACAAAGCTTTCTAACAAATCAACGTGAATATTGAGCATTCAACACGAACACCATAGTTGGCCTAAGAACAATCTAGTGATAATTTTGTTGCTGAGCGACGATGTATATTCTTGAGAATTACCAAAAAAGGGACGTGAAAGCGTTCTCGATAGAGTGACAGAAGCCTTTTATAGTTAGTGATAATTGTCATCATATGTATTTTTTCAAACACATATAATGAATAAACTTAATATTTAAATAAA